AATGTTTCTTAGTAATCAACCTTGTGTTATTGCGCATAATCTTTGACCAGAAGTCTTGCCTTGTGTTTACAGATTGAGCCGTCAGGATTAAGTTTGGTTTAAAAAAACTTATTTGACTCCAATTACTTTTTGTTCTTTGAGTCTTTTAACAAGCTGTCATATCTCATTTTTGTTGATCATTTCAATCTCTTCCTACGTTGCTTTTCTCCAAGCTGGTGAAGTTTTTATCTCAAAAAAATTGTTAGGTTTTAAGACAACAAAATTACACCTCTAATATATTTCTTGCAAGCATCTGGCACCTCTAATGGGTTCATCATTAAAAGTTTCACTATCTATTACAGGTTGTGATTGATTTGACTCTTGAGAACGTTAATTTGCACTTCCTCAATATTCTCCCAGTTCCAAGCAGTCATTTCATTAAATTTAATATATTTGCTCACAATAATTTTGTTAGTTTTCAAATACTAAATTTTGTATCCCTTTGTGACAATGTCGTAACCAACAAAAAGATGGTAATATTAATTCAAAGATCATATACTAATCTATATATTTTTTGTATAACTCAACCAATAAAATTAGAAATCGCCTCATAACATTTTATTTTTCATTAATAGTTCTTCTCTTTGATATATATTACAATGTTTAAAATATTTTACATTTTCTTTAGTTCTAGTGAGGTTAAATTACTAACCTAATTGGAAATAAAACTACTTGTAGAAATAGAATTCAAATTTGATTTTCAAGTTCACTAGGGACATAAGCTCCCATTATCCATAGTATAGCTCATTCTTGGAGGTTGTGGATTCTGATACGAATTTTCATTATCAAAGTGAAATTTTTCTCATTTATATCTTAAAGAGAATATTTTATAAATATTTTATAAAGTGGTTTGACATGTTTTGTAAAATTATTTTTATCTTGTTCCATGTGTGATATTCTAATTCAATTTTATCGGAAATGTTGACTTTAGAATCACTAATAAGCTATAGGAATGTCTTATCTAATTTAAAAATTCATTCTTTTTTTATTAAATAAATTAAAAATTATGTAGCAGCCCCAGAAATTCGTAATTGAATTTATATTATAAATATCAAATGCGGAAGCGAAGTCAAAATTTGAATAACATCCCTTACACTGAAACCGAAACGTGCTCACAAAATATAAAAGATTAAACTACCTAAAGGAGAAACTTGAAAGTAAAAACTACGAATGTGACTATGGAGTCTTTAGGCGTCCCCTTCGTCGTCCTCCTGCGGAATCGGCTCGGGAACGATGTCCTCTTGATCTGAAATGATTAAATAAGGAATGAGCTACACTAGCCCAGTAAAGACATCACGATATCTCACCGTCACGGAGGTAAAGGTGGGTAGAAAACACAAAAAGACCAATGGAGCATAATTTACAACAAATCCTTTTATCGATAAATAAAACCTTTACCATTTACTTACCTCGGTGAAATTCATAAAACAATATACGAAAGCAATAACATCATCATCATCATGGAAACATATATATGAACTGTATAACATAATACCTATCACACTTTTCGTAATTCAATCGTTAC